GATTTGGCGACTGCGCGCCAAATCCATGGATCGCTCGTCCACGCTTGCGCGCCCCCGATGCCAGCAGGTGCCCCAAGGAAATTTCTCGTCCTTTGATTGTACGCGGGGTCGGGGAACATGGAAAAACGCATGAAGCCCGTACGCCCCCCCGAACCCGAACTTCGGGTCTTCGGGTTGGGTTGGGGTGGTCTGGTAGGTCGTCAGGCACGTCTAAGACACTGGCCTACCAGCAGGTGCCCCAAGGAAGCTTCCTCGTCCCTTGATGGCCCGCGGGGCCTGTACATACGGCGGCGGCATTGGATAAGGAACCTTTTTCTGGGGCCCAGACCCTGGCGCATTCCTAAATGTTTCAGAGCGAGTTGGGTGTCCCACGTTTGGCCGCCCATCGGTCGCGAGACCCTGGGTTCCTTGTCGAAGGTATCCTTATCTAAAACCTCCACCGTATGGGGCACCTCGGGAAGCTCCACGCTCGACGAAGCACGTGCCCCTCCCCTTGTTTTTCCTACAAGCTCCGCCTGCAGGAGGACATGCCCGACCTAACCTTAGATTTCTTTAAGAACGGTTTCCCATCGTAATGTCCAAAACCTGTTTAGAAATGATGACCCCCCCCCCTCCGCCCCCCCCCCCTGGATCCCGAGTGTCATTAATACGCCGGCGGATATTTTTTTAATGTCCACCTTGGAACAAAGATTCGACGGAGAGCGAACATACGTGTGTACTGTAAACATATACGCGCACGCGCATGCATTGGAACATGCATTCGAACTTCTTGCGTGCAGATGTATAGGCTGCTCCGGTCGACGAATAAGTAGTTCTCGTCCTACTGGCACAGTGTACGTGCGTACGCTTCCCACACAGCCTGGGCCATGGCGGCCGCGTGCGCGGCGGCCTTGCCCCTCGCGCAGTGTTGCGTTTTCCCACGCCGGTGCCATCAGGAACCGCCGGGCCTCGGTGCTTCCGAACTGACTATTCGGAAGCACCGAGGGCTGGCGGCTGGTGGGGGAGGGGGGGGGGGCACAAGGGCCGCCGCGCGCGGCGGCCCTTGGCGCCCCCGAGTGGCATCTCCACGCAGGAGAAGCTGGAGCCGCCGCGCGCGCGGCGGCTGGGGGTCTCTCAAAGAGACGCGCGCGGCGGCTCTTGCTGCTCCCCAGGAGCATTCTGCATGTGGAAGAAGGCAGGGCCGCCGCCGCGCGCGCGGCGGCTTGGGATTCTCAAGAGTTGTCGCGCGCGCGGCGGCTTTCGTTGCTCCGGAGTTGTATTTCCCACGCAGGAGAAGGCAGGACCGCCGTGCGCGCGGCGGCTGAGGGCCCTCACGAGACGCCGTGCGCGTGGCTGCTCCTGGCGGTCCCGAGCTGCATTTCTCCCGCAGGACAAGAGGACAAGGCCGCCGCGCGCGTGGCGGCTGGGGGGTTCTCAAGAGTTGCCGCGCGCGCGGCTGCCGCTGAAGCTCCCGAGGCGTATTTTCCTCGCAGAAGGTGGCAGGGCCACCGCGCGCGCGGCGGCCCGGGGCCACCACGAGCTGAAGAGCCGTCGCGCGGGCTGCGGCCCGTGGTGCTCCCGAGATGTGGGCAGGGCCGCCGCCGCGGCGGCTGGGGGGGTGGGGGCGGGGGGTTGGCGTGGGAGGGGAGGGGGGGGGGGTCTTAAGAGCCGCGCGCGCGCGGCGGCTCTTCGTGCTCTAGATTTGTAGTTTACCACGCAGAAGAGAACAAGGCCGCCGCGCGCGTCGGCTGGTGGGTTCTCAAGGTTTGTCGCGCGCGCGCGACGGTTCCCGAATGGTCTGGTTCTACGCAGAAGAAGGCGCCGCCTCTGAGCGCGCGGGGCCGCCGCGCGGGCTGCGGCTCTTGGCGCTCCCGAGTGGTATTTTCCATGCAGAAGAGGGCAGGGCCGCTGCGCGTGCGGCGGTTCGGGGCCCCAAGAGATGCCGCGTGCGCGGCTGCTCTCGGTGCTCCCGAGTATGCTTTCTCCACGCGGAAGAAGGCAGGGCCGCCGCGCGCTCGGCGGCTGGGGTCCTCAAGGGCCGCCGCGCGCGCGGCAGCTCTTCGTGCTCCAGATTGGTATTTGACTGCGCAGAAGTGGGCAGGGCCGCCGCGGGGCCGCCAAGGGCCGCCGCGCGCGGCGCCTCTCGGTGATCTCGAGTTGTATTTTCCCGCACAGAAGATGGCAGGGACGCCACGCGCTCGGCGGCTGGGGGGCCCTCAGAAGCAGCGGCCGCGCGCGAGGCTGCTCTGCGTGCTCCAGATTCGTATGCTTCCATTCCGACGAGGCCCGGGCCGCCGCGCGCGCAGCCGAGCGGCGCGCGGCAGCCTACACTGCGCCAGCGCGCGCGTTCGCGTGGCGGTGTCTGTTTTTGTCTGTTTCTTTTTCTTCCGCAATGGGAATGTCTCCGCGCTGGCCTGCGAACTGAAGCGAACCTTTTCTAGCGGTTGCCGATTCGGTTTCCAAGTTTGAATGCGTTTTTTTTGGTGTGTTTTCGTTTATCGGTGCAGCCTACAATGTGCCGACGCGCGCGTGTGGCGGTTTTTGTATTGCTCGCGATGGGAAAGTCGCCATGCGCGGGTCACTGCACTCTGGGCATCCCTAATTGGGTGCCCATTGTGCACTCACCAGAGTGCACTCTGGTGAGTGCACTCTGGTGAGGCGATGGGGGTGAAGGTGCACTCATGGTGAGTACGCGCGCCGAGTGTCGGTGCTGAATGTCGGCGCCGAATGTGATTGCCAAGTGTCGGCGCCGAGTGTCGGTGCCGAACGTCGGTGCCAAGCGTCGGCGACGATCGTCGTTGACGCGCCGAATGTCGGCGCCGATCGTCGTTGACGCGGGGTTCTCTAAAGACTTGCCCCTCGCGCGAAAACATCGCAGGAATCTACCGCTGGACGCGGAGTGCCAGGGCGGTCGGGGGGACGTCCCCAGCGGTCCAGTTTGCCCCGCCTTCCTCATGTTTTCTATATGCACACTACAACGCCTCGAATACTCATTTCTGTTATCGTTCCCCCAGATCATATATATATATAATAATAAGAAAGAATGTGTTTTGTATACAGTACGTTTCTGCTGTAGGCGACGGGAAGGTCTTCGAAGATTGCTGCGTGCAGCTGGCTTCGGCCCCGCCGCGGGGCGCCTTCCTCCAGGGCGTGGTCGCGCTAAGCGTCCGGAGGCGCTGGGAAGGCCGGCTGCACGAGCTGAGCCGTATGAGGGATCGGTTTATGTAAAGCCAGGCGTTCCCGGGCTTCCAGGTTATGTAAAGTCCAGCGTTCCTGGGTTTCCGGGTTTCATCGCTGTCCCGCGCGGCCAGGGACGAGTGCGTGGGCGAGCCGCAGTGGCCGGGGGCCGGTCGAAACCCTGGGACTCCCAGAGCGTATCTGGAGAGCCGATCGCATCACGACATCAGCCTCCCCCGGCTGTTTACTGCAGGCCTCCCAGCTTTTGCATGCCTCAATCTCTCCTTCCCCTCCTCCCTCCCTGCTTCAATCTCTCCCTGCCTCAATCCTCCTTCCCCTCCTCCCTCCCTCCATGCCCCCCTCCTTCCCTCTGTCCCGACTCCCTCCCTCCCTGCCTCAATCTCTCCTTCCCCTCCTCCCTCCCTCCCTCGGAGGACGGCCCCGTGAGACAGCGGCGGCTCCCCCGCTTCCAGATCCGCCCCCACATCGAGGTCCGGACACCTCCCAGGGGCCCCATCCTGACACGTCTTCCGAGGCGGAGCTGGCCGCAGCGACGAACGGTGCCAGGGAGGGCCGCCGATGGTCTCGACTGGCCTTCTTCCGATCTCCCCCCCAATTCCTCTCGGCTCTCTGAGCCTTCTGCGCAGGCGCAGGGTGAGGACAGCACAACCCACCCCCAGCCCCACCCAGGGCACCCACCTCCGACCTGGTGATCCATGGTGCCCTGGGTGGGGGTGGGGGTGGGTTGTAAGAGCCGCGGGGCCCAAAAACCCACCCCCAGCCCCACCCAGGGCACCCTGGATCACCAGGTCGGAGGTGGGTGCCCTGGGTAGGGGCTGGGGGTGGGTTGTGCTGTCCTCACAGGGGGCTGCTCAGAGGGCCGGAGGGCTCCTGAGGATCCCCGCCGCCTTCCGAGGAGGCCTGCCCCTCTCGCTTGTCGTCCCCTCGGCGCGCCGCCGATCCTTCCCTCCTCCCCGCCCCCACCCTTCCCTGTGAGGAATTTGAGGATCTGACTTCGTCAGCGGTCCCGTCCCCATTCCCATTCTTTTTCTCATCCCTCCCCACCCCCACCCCTCCCCCTTGTTAAGGAATTTGAGGATCTGACTTCGTCAGTGGTCCCGTCCCCATTCCCATCCTTTTTCTCGTCCCTCCCCAGACATGCGACTTCCTTCATTTTTCAACACGCGATCCCCGGAGTCCGGACCCTTTCCCGAGGACCCGTTTTTCATCCCGAGTGGCCCAAGTAAGGGCCCCCAGGGGCGGCAAATTCTTGCCTCCTCGCCCCATCCTTGGCCATATTTGTTGGCCGTGCCCCGTTCGAAAAGCTTCGAAACGGGCGTCCAAGGCCCTTGCATCCTTATCGCGCATCCCTGTGATACGGGCCGCCTGTATGCCCGCGCAATCCGGTCGAATCCCTCTTCATCCGCGGCCTCATCCGGCGCAGCAGCTCCCCTATGGGGCTTACTCCTCCTTCGCCCTTCCGACGCAGAGCTCCCAGGCTTGACTCCTTCATTGCTCCTCCCTGATGATCCTTGATCCTTCCTCCTCAGTCCTTCCTCCCTACTGATCCTTAGCCATTCCTCCTTAATCCTTTCTACCTCCTTAATCCTTAATATCTTGAATACTTCCTCCTTAATCCGTCCTGCCTCCTTAATCTTTCCTCCCCAATGATCCTGACTCCATCCTCCTCAATCCTTCCTGCCTCCTTGATATTTCCTCAATCCTTCCTTACTCCTTCCTCCCTAATCCTTCCTACCTCCTCGATCCTCCCTTAATCCTTCCTTACTCCTTCCTCCCTAATCCCTCCTGCCTCCCACTTCCCCCCCCCCCCTCTCGCCGTGAGCGTCTCGGCGCCGCGGGCGCCGCCCCGGGGGAGAAGGGCGTGCCCCCCCCCCCCCCCCTCCGCCCCGCTCCGCTGGGCGATGGACGCGTGGCTGAAGGCTCGCTGGGGCGCCGCCGCCTCTGGCGCCGCGAGGGGTGGGCCCAGGCCTCCTGGACCCAGACACCCAGACCCCCCCCGCGTCGTGGAACATCGCGACGGGAGGCTCTTGTGCATTTTCCGCCCCTGGGTGCCCTCGCCCGGGCTCGGGGCCGTCCACAAGCGGCTCGGGACGAGAGACCGGTCCCCGGGGAAGGGGTCCGGACTTCTCGGGGTCGACGGCGCGAAAACGATCACGACGTCGGGGGTCTGGGGACGGGGTCCGAGTAATTAGAAAGGAACGGAGGATCGCGGCGCATCGCCGATGCGTCGCCGATGCGGCTCGAAGTGGAGCCCGATCTTCTCCGCGCTGGCGTCGCCGAAGCTCAGCCGCTGTCGCCGAAGCATTGCTTATGCATTGGCGATGCGGTGCGATCCTCCGACTCCATCTGCTCTGACACCAGCTAAGAGGCCTCCAGTGGAGGAAGGGCGGGGCGAGACACTTTGTTGACACGACCGCCTCACAAATCGTTGGTTTAAGGCATACCGCGCAAACAGGTCAAGCCGAAAGTGAAGCGTGTCACTCGCGGGCACCGAAGGTGCTGCGAGAGTACCTTCGGCGCGCCCTGGGAGCGTGAAACATCGGCAGTGTTTGCATTCGGGGGAAGGGGGGGAGTTCTGAGGGCTGCGTGGGAGGGAGGGGGAGGAGGAGGAGGAGGAGGAGGAGGAGGAGGAGGAGGAGGAGGAGGAGGAGAAGGACCAGCAGCAGGTGGAAGGGAGGGAGGGAGGGCGGGAGTACGAGGAGGAAGAGGAGGAAGCGGAGGAGTAGGAGGAGAAGGAGGAGGGGGAGGAGGAGGAGGAGGAGGAGGAGGAGGAGGAGGAGGAGGAGAAGGAGGAGTTCGGGGAGGAGGTTGGGGGGGAGGAAGAGGAAGATGATGGGGACCTGGAGAGGGATCGAGGATCGAACATCTAATTTCTTGGGTGCTTTGAACCTTGTTGAATCTTCGGGGTCTCCTGGGGTATCCTCTGCTATTCGCTCCTTTCTCTTGTGTCACTGCTTGCATGACCCTCCTTGATGCGATGACAATCTACGTACGGGGTAAGTCAGAGTGAGGGGGCCGAGCGGTCATTCACTGTCCCGTGGCGCGTGGCTGAAGCGAGGTTCTGCGGTGTGGATCGTTGTTGTTGTTGTTGTTGTTGTTGTTGTTGTTGTTGTTGTTGTTGTTGTTGTTGTTGTTGTTGTTGTTGTTGTTGTTAATGTTAATGTTGTTGTTGTTGTTGTTGTTGTTGTTGTTGTTGTTGTTGTTGTTGTAGTTGATGAGCTCTCATTTCTAAAGAATAGTTGTTGTTGATCCCCCCTCCTCGGTAATCGTTGCATTTCTAAATAAAAGTGCTAGAGGGGGCTGTACTCGGTTTTTTCTACAGGGGAAAGGGAGGTGTCACCAAACTATTTCCCTGGTCGCCTGTTTACAACAACGACGGCTCCCGCCTGATTCTTCCTCACGATGTATTCCGAAATCGCGCTCTAGTGTGGGACTTCCTCACACTTTATGCTTGAATCGCGCTCCCGCGTGGGATTTCATTGCAATGTATTCAGACGCCGCGCTCTCGACACTCAGAAATCACGCTTTCGCTGTGGATGTCCTCGCGATGTATTTGGGAACCGCGTTGTCGCTCGAGACTTCCTCCCGATTCATTCAGGACGCACGCTTCAGGAACCCGCCTGCTCGACCTGGTCGCCTGGGCCTGCCTTCCCGACCCGCCTGTTAGGGTCTGCCCGTCCGATCTGCCCGTCTGGTTCTGCCACGTGTTTTCTGTTCCTAGCCCCCCTCCTGCTACTCTCTCTCGTGCTGTATCCTCCTCCCTCCCCCTTGTCCCTTCCTTTCATCCGTCGTCTCTGCCCTGCCTTAGGGGGTGTACGAAATACACGTTGCAGGTAAGAAAGGTATAGCCCCATGGTGGTGCGATCGAAGACGAAACGGGCGGGTTTCGAGTGTTTAATGGCACGCGGGCGCATATGAGCGACCAGCCTTACACTAATTGTTGGTGCTGCTGTTGCTGTTGCTGTTGCTGTTGCTGTTGCTGTTGTTGCTGTTGCTGTTGCTGTTGCTGTTGCTGTTGATGTTGTTGTTGTTGTTGCTGTTGCTGTTGTTGTTGTTGTTGTTATTGTTGTTGTTGTTTGTTGTTGTTGTTCTTGTTGTTGTTGTTGTTGTTGTTGTTGTTGGTGTTCTTGTTTGTTGCAAGACCCACTGGCGACCCACTGGCGACCCACCCGCGACCCACCCCGCGATCCACCCGCGACCCACCCGCGACCCACCCCGCGACCCGCCCGCGACCCACCCGCGACCCACCCACGACCCACTCGCGACCCACCACCGACCCAGCCCGCGACCCAGCCCGCGACGCACCCGCGACCCACCCGCGACCAACCCGAGACCCATTGGCGACCCGCCCGCGCCCCACCCACATTGCTTTAACGAAAACGCGGCGCCTGCGTGAGGAGGGGAGGAGGAGTATGATGAGCGACAGAGGAGGAGGACGATGAGGAGGCGGAGGAGGAGGAGTACGATGAGTACTTAGTAGCAGAAGGAAGAGGAGCAGGAAGGCGGATGATTATGACGATGGTGATGATATTGATGATGATGATGATGATGATGATGATGATGATGATGATGATGATGATGCTGATGATGATGATGATGATGATGATGATGATGATGATGATGATGATGATGATGATGATGATGATGTTGAAGCTGATGATGATGACGACGCTGATGCTAATGACCGCGAGTAGTAATGCGAAGAAGACGACTGAGAATAGCAAGACACTCAAACCATAGTACCAAAGTTACTAACACTACCGCCACGGATGTCCAGAATACGATGCGGTGCACTAAGAGAATTTACGAATGCGGAAGGGAGCGAAACGCGGGGCGAATAGCTCAAGTCATGTTCACGATTCGTAAACATAGCACGGCCAGGTGTTTTACAAAATCATATGCAGAGCCGTACGACTATCACCAGCAAGGTTCGTGGTACTAGTATGCAGAGGTAAGGCTACTACCACGAATCCTAGCAACACTGATCTGCTTAGGGAGAATGCCAAGACGGAGCGCGCCACGACCAGTCGTAACCATAATACGATGAATGATATCACTAACACGATGACGAAGAACCGCACGAACCCGATGCACTCGAAATCAAGACTGGCACGACTCATGATGTTGTAGTTGAGAAGGATGGCGGAAGAGGAGGGGCAAGATGAGGAGGGGAAGGAGGCGTGACTGCTAGATGGAGAGCCCCGCTCGAGGCCGCGGTGGACAGGGCGGCGACAGTGGCCGATGCCGCGGGCAAGCTCGGAGAAGAGGCCCTCCCCCCTGCCCGCGTCCCCCTGCAGCAGGGGAAGGAGGGCGAGAGGGAAGGACGGGGGAGCGACGGGCACTCGGGCGACCAGCGGCGCCCGAGCCGCTGGGAGACGACATGGTCAGAGGTCGTGGAGGACGCGCCCGAAAGGCGCAAGTCGACGGACGAAGAGGTCAGCAGGGCCGTGCGCAGCATCATGTGAGGGGTGCAGCACTGTGCGAGCCTGCTTCAGGGTGTCAGTAGGTTGTGTGTTCTCAGCTCACTGTTACCCGCCTGCTCATGACAGCAGTCGGAGCGAAGCGGGGATGGGGAGGAGGAGGCTGAGGGCCAGTGTACACCCAATGCGCATCTACGATGTTGCAATCAACCCTCCCTCCAAGCACCTTTCATATAGGTTCCTGCAAACAGCGCGTTGTCACTGCTGGAAGTGCACCAGTCGGATGACAGCCGGCTGGCAATCACCACTCCTCCCGAAGCACTATTCATGGGAGCCCAACGCCGCGCATCAACGTCAGCGTCGCATCCTGACAGCCCTAGACAGTGCCAGAAAACCATCCCAGGGAATTCCACCGTACGTTTTTCTGTTCGAGCTCTTGCGGCCTTTCATAGCCAACGTGCGCGGCGCGCCGGCGGGAACCGCAATGTGACACCCACCCGCCGTCCACCCTTGAAGCTGCTGGAGGCACTTAAGACGAGTGTGCGCGGCGCTGAGGCGAGAACCACGTGTCGAACGCCGGCCGCCCTCTATCCGTGAACCGGCTGCCGACTCAGAGTTCGAATGTGCGCCGCGCTCAGGCGAGCGCCAGATTTAGTAAACCAGCTGTCTCCCATCCCTGGCACTGCTGCGCAACTAAAGCTTCGGGATCAACGTGTGTGGAGCGGTCGCAAGCGGAACGCCCGTAGCGCCCCACCGACACGTCTGAGCGTGCGGCAGAGAGGCGCTATTTGCAATAACGCAGAATGGAGGAAGAGAAGGTGGAGGAGGAGTCGGAAGAGGAGGAAGACGATGAGTAGGAGGAGGAGGACGACGACGACGAACACGAGGAACGAAGGAGGAGGGGGATGAGGATGAAACAGGATTATGCATCTTACAGTCTCCTACATGCACCGTGTAGAAGGGACCTGGCGAGGCCCTGGAGAGTGTACCCTATGGGCCTACCCGTGGTCGGGTGCTGGCCAGACGATTTAAGCGGCCCTGTGCATTGTCCCTATGATCCTTGCACTCGCTGTTGCTAAGGCTCTGCCGTCGCTTCTGAGCGTAGCATGCGCATACTTGGCAGTAAGCATAGCCTGGCCGAGTCACCAGCTGGTGGCGATTTCTTCGCACCAGCTCGGCTCGGAGGGCCTCGTCGTCTGGGCCCGCCCCCCCTGGAGGCCCTCCAGGCCTGGCCAGGGGGCGTCCAGCCTCCTCGGAGGCCCCGTCCGCATCCCCGACCCCTCCACGACGCTCAACGACCCCAGTACCCGTCCCACTAGTACTCGAGGCCTGCAGCGGTCCGTCCTTTACCGTGTCTACTTCATCAGACGACAGTGCAAGGACTTTGGCATTAAATCGCAAAATAGTCCAGACTAGTTTGAACTCGCGCAGGCATTTCTCGACGTGCCATTCGGGGTACACTAAAGAGGCTGCTGCTGGTTTGGCTCCCCGATCGGCGGCCCTGTTGCCCTGGAAGTGTTTCGTGCCTAGTGCACGACGCTCTACTGCTGTGGCTCGGGCCTTGATTTTTCCTATCTGGACCATCTCTGGGCCCAATCCGCCTAGCTCCTCTACCAAGTGCCAGGCGGCTGGCATGTGGGTGCGAGCAGCGAGTGCACCATGCTTTCCCGCGGGCGAAGCCGTCGACAGCATTTTTACAGTCTGACCAACTCCCGAGCGGCACCATTCCTGCCTGCAACGCCATGCGCACTGCGTGCGACTCAGCACGGGAGATGGACTGCCCAGCTTGCGGCCGCGTCAGCCGCCCACGCATAGCGAAGATTTGTTCTCCGTTGTCAGTGACTTTTGCATAGCACCACCCTGCTCGTCTGATGGGCCGTGCCTGCCGTGCAACTGCGAGCCGTCTACGTAGGCGTCGCCAGTGAGAAGGTCTGGGGCGCGACCCCAGCGGCATTCGTTGGCAACTGTGGGTGCGCTGGTGGCCCCCAGCTGCTGCACTTTGGGGTGGCCTGCGTGCTGTCGCGCGCTCTGTCGCGCTGGGCAATAGAAAACACGATGCTTGTCCGATCCCTCGCCGCTGCAAGCGTCACACTTGTTGCTAGAAGCGGCCCTTTGGCGAAGAGGCGCTCCTGACTCCACATTCCTCCAGCAAAAATCGTGCGAGCCCGTGTGCGGTGCTCCGATGTCCAAGCTTTTGGCACCGGTTTGGCCATAGGGGCCCGCACAGGCTCGATACAGATTCTGGTGATGCCTGCCTCCGCGCCCCAGCGTCGAGTCCACTCTCGCTGGAGCTTCCGTTCGCATTCTTGCACTGCCTGCTCGTGCAGCCACCAGGCGCCGACCAGGCGAAGGTCAGCACTGACCAAAGGGGATAGGCTGGCATTCCCCGAAGCCGAGCCGATGGTGAGCGAGAACGGCCTGCTAGCAGTGGCCAAGAAAGCTCCTGCGAGCCCTCTGACCCATGTCCATGGCTGTGGGGGACTGCGACAGGCGAATGCTCCAGCGCTTCGAGGCGGCCGTGAGGCGGTCCGCTAGCGCTGGGTCGTGCACTACTTCATTCCATGCGTTGGCCCACTCCACAATGGGTATGGGGCCTGCGTTCGCGACTTGTGCGGGGTCAGCGCCCTCGCTTAGCAGAACAAGCGGCGCGGATCGCCCTGCCACGCTGCCGCCAGGAGAAGTCGCGACGGCTTGGCGCAGCTGCTGCACTGTTGACGGGGGCGCTCATACCACTCTCGTGCCGTAGAGGATGGAGGGCACGGCCGCTGCCGTAACAAGCTTGTTCGCTTGGCCTCCAGCTCTCTTCGCTCCCGCAACCCTTTTCCCACGGCTCTTCCACTTCAGGGTTCTCTCTTGTGTACAGCGGACATTCGACGGCGACGGCCTGCGCAAACAGTGATGCCCAGGTGCTTGGCGTGGCTCACGGACCTGATCCCGATCCTCTTTGCCGTTGGCTCCATGTCCTTGGCCAGCGCTGTGGGCGAGGTCAGCAGCACTGTTTTCCCCTTCTCGCCCAGGGAGACTGGCATCTCGACACCATTCTTCAGGCGTTCGATGACGATGCTTACCATTCTCGCGTGCTCAGCTGCAACCCAGTGGCGCTCGCCCATGCGCGCAATCGACAGGCCGTCGAAGAACAGGCACAGCTCCGCGAGGCTGTTGCCCAGCTGGATTGTGTCGAGCTTCTTCATGAGCACCCGTTTGAGGGCGACTGGGGCGAAGACGGAGACCGCCGCGAGGCCCTGCCACCAGCGCCTGCCCTTGGTTACCGCGTCGTCCAGCACCACCCTCCTGGCCATCCCGTAGATGGGGAGGATCACGCGCAGCAGGCGCGTGGGGAACCCCCCGTGCTGGCCAGCCTCCCAAACCTTCTAGTGGCTCACGTACACGAAGTATTTCACAAGGTCCAGCAAGGTGATCGCGTAGCTCTCGTTGTTGGCCGCGGCCGCCTCGCAGAAAAGCTGCTGCATCCAGGCGCCGCGCTCACTACTACGTCCAGCTCTTGAGCAGTCGTTGTCCCTCTTGTGGCAGGCCTCCCACTCGGCGGTGATGGGGCGCCTGCATGTTTCCCATAGCCTGACCACCTCTGGCAGCAGTCCTAGGCATCTCATGCCCCCGCCCTCCGCCTTCGGTGCGTTGGAGAACAGGATGTCCGACTGGCTGGACGGCCATGGCGTGCCGTCCTCGACCGCGTCGAACACGTCGATGATGCGCTGGGTGCCCTTCGCGCCTCCCGTGGCCCACAGGTGCGGGTGCCGCTGCCCCGCGCCCAGGCCCCTCTGCCTCGTGAAGCCCATGCAGTGCTGGCAGACCTCGGCGGGGACCAGCGGTGCCAGCTTCGGCTCGCGCGTCGGTGGGCGCTCCTGCCAGGGAGCGCGTTCTTCTGCAGGCCTGCGCCAGACCTCCCAGCCCTTCAGGACCTTGTCCGCTGCGCGCTGGGGGTCGCCGCATCGCGGCGCCGCTGGGGACGAGGGTGGTGGCCCGATCGGTGTCCATGGCGTCGACGGCTCGGTCCACTTATGTAGCGGGCCTGCTCCGCCCACCGAGTGCGCTTGGACCCACTGCCTCCACTCCTTCGTCGCCATGGCGAGGGCTGCCTCGCGCTCCTGCTCGGCGATCTCGCCAGCCTTGAGCGCCCAGTACTCCAGGTACGGCACCCCGTCCACCAGCATCTCGTTGTCGTCCCCAAGGTTGGTGATCACCCACTTCATGTTCTGCCAGTCGTCCGCCGTGGGGCCATCGGGCCGGGCCCTCTGTGCCCCCTCCTCGGCGGCTGTCAGCGGCAGGAGGTACGTGTCGATGACCTCCTGGTATGCCTTGTTCAGCTTTAGCTGCTTTTGCCACGCGTGGCAGGAGCTGGCCTGCTCCCCGCTCGTGCCTGTGGCCAGGCGTGCCGGCTCCTGCAGTCAGTATCTCAGCCACTCCGCCGTGGCGGCCTTCTTGGTCGGGGCGCCTCTCGGCGGCTTGTGCACAGGCGCCAGAGTGACCTCCCAGAACTGCTCCGTCTGGAAGTGGCCCTGCCTCCGCGCCACGTCGCCGTCGGCGAAGCCGTGGTAGCGGTCCAGGTTGCACTTGTAGGCCTTCGCGGTGCTCTCCCAGTGCGCGTCGATCTCCTCCTGCTCGGCGTTGTCCTCGAGGTCGGGGCCGTTGGGCCACTCGATGGGGGCTGCCGCGCAGCCCTGCGGTATGTCCAGCGGGCGGCCGCCGCGCGATCTTGGCCAAGTGCGCAGGCTTGTGGGCTGGGGCGCACTTGCCCAGCCAGCGCGAGACGGGGAAGTGTGGGCTGCATCTGGCACGTATGGCAAGGTCCTTCTCCACTGTCGCGTATTCGTCTGCGCCAGCTTCCTCGACGCGGTGAAGTAGTCGCGGGTGCTGGCCTCCCTCTTTGGCACCTTGCACGTGCCCTCGCTCGGTCGGATGATGATTCCTTTCAGTCTGTCGATCACCCCGCTTTCGTGCAGCTGCTCTGGGTCCATATTAAAATCGCCCCCGACACTGCGTGGCCGTGGCGTCCGCCAGCGCGCCGAAAGCCGCCAGCGCCGCCAGGTTCCTGGGTGCAGGGCCCTCCGAGTGCCACAGGTAGCACGAGCCCATGATGATGCCGCCGCTCTCGCCGATGTCAACCCACGCCACCGCCAGCATGTCCAGTTGTGCTTGGCCTTGAGGTCCGTGTCGGTGGTCTCCTCTGTCTGCTCCTGTAGCAGTGCCGCCGCTTGCTCCAGGTGGTGCGCCCCCATCCCCCACTGGCCCTCCGCGTCGGCGGGCACGGTGTGCTTCAGCTGCGACCGCTTGGCCTCCAGCTGTTGGATCTGCGCCTCCTTCTTGTCGAGCCTGGTTTCCTCCTCCGCCAGCTCCTTCTGCATCTCCTCTGCCTTGGCGTTCAGGGCCTCGATCCGCTTCTTCTTGCGGTCCCTGGCCGCCTCCGCCCTGCGGCGCTCCCGCTCCACTTGCGCCTGAGTGAAGCACCGCGGTATCGTCTGCTCCTTCTGGGCCTCCAGGCGGCGGACCTCCTCCCGCACACGGTCCGATACCTCGCCGAGGAATTCCATGCACTCCTCGGCGGCCTGCGCTCGCAGGTCGCGCACGCGGCTCCGTAGAGCCGCCAGCTTCTTGTGCGCCTCGTCTCGGGCGTCTTCGTCTGGCCTTGGCAGCTGGTCCTCATCCTTGCGGCTGTGGCTCGGGCGGCGCCGCTGCCGACCGCCTTCGCTTGGCTTCCATGCCCAGCACTCCCAGCACCTCGTGTGATTGCGGTCGCACCCCTTTGCGCCGCACGCGGCGCAGTCCCAGGTGTCATTGCTCATGATGTGGCTCGGGAGGGCGATGCCACTTCGAATGCTGTGCTGCTCCCGAACTCCAGCAAGTGGACGACCCAATCCCCTGATGGAGCCGAAAGTGCTGATGGGGACGATGATGATGCTGATGATGATGATGATGATGATGATGATGATGATGATGATGATGAGGCGGAGGAGGCGGAGGAGGAGGAGGAGGAGGGTGAGGAGGAGGGGAAGGGGGAGGAGGAGGAGTAGGAGTGCGAGGGTGAGGGTGTGGTTGAGGATGATGGCGACGATGAAGATGAAGACGAGGAGGATGATGAATCGGATGACGATGAAGACGATGAAGGTGATGTTGATGATGATACGGGGAATAATGGTAATGGGGATGACGCTGTTGATGTTGATGCTGATGCTGATGCTGATGTGGACGGTGGTGGTGGTGATGATGAGGAGTAGTACGATTGTGGTGATACTGCCGATGGCCGTGGTGACGATGACTACGATGCTGCTGACGACGGTGATGATGATGACGATGCTGCCGATGATGATGATGGTGCTGATGATGGTGACGGTGATGACCACGATGATGATGATGATGATGATGATGATGATGCTGATGATGATGATGATGATGATGATGATGATGATGATGGTGCTGCTGCTGCTGATGATGATGATGATGATGAAAACGAGGACTATGGGGATGAGGGTGATGAGGCTCATGATGGCGCTGATGATGCTGGCGGCGAGTATATGAATAATGCGGATGGTAATGACAACGGGTGGCGATGACGATGCTGATGGTGATGATGAGAATGCTGATGCTCATGATGCTGATGATGACGATGATGACGGTGCTGATGATGATGTTGGTGCTGCTGATGCTGGTGATGATGGCAAGCACGGTTGTACATTGTTGCTGCTGGTGGCGATGATAGTGGTGATGACCAGGGCGATGATGATGATGATGATGTTGACGCGGATGCAGATGCGGATGCTGATGTTGCTGTGGATGATGATGGTGGTGATGATGGTGATCATTATACTGGTGGTGAGTATGCTGATGATGGTAATGAAGTCGATGCTGGCGATGACGATGGTGGCGATGACGACGGCCATACTGATGATGATGGTGACGGTGATGATGATGATGATGATGATGATGATGAGGATGATGATGAGGATGATGATGACGATGCGACTGATGATGATGATGATGATGATGATGATGATGATGATGTTGACGACGATTAGGATGCTGATGATTATGATGAGGAGGCCGGTGTTGGTGATGATGCTGATGTGGTTGATGTTGATAATGGTGGTGCGACTGATGATGACGATGATGAGGATGATGATGATGTTGTTGTTGATGATGATGATGATGATCATGCTCATGCTGTTGCTGATGTCGTCGATGATGCTGATGTTGGTAATGATGATGATGCTGCTGATGGTGATGATGGTGATTATGATGATGTTGATGGTGATGATGATGGTCATGCTGATCATGATGGTGATCATGATGACGATGGTGGGGACGATTATGGTCTTGATTCTGATGGTGTGGCTGTTTTTGTTCCCAACCCTCTTTCGTTGGGTATTCGTTTTGAATAGAGCACTGCGGTCGCGTCTTCCTCCTCCCGCCTCCCGCCTCCTCCCTCCTCCTGCCCTCTCTTCGCCGTCGCTGGGGGGCTGCGATCTGCGAAACAGTCGCCACTTTAAAGGGCTGCTGGTGGGTCCAGCGGAGTGAGGTACCGCGCAGACCTGAGGTAGACCTCGCCGTCCCTGGGGGAGGGGGGGGGGCTGCGGTCTGCGAAGTTGTCGCCACTTTAGAGGGCTGCTGGTGGGTCCAGCGGAGTGAGGCACCGCGCAGACCTGAGGTAGACCTCGCCGTCCCTGGGGGGCTGCGATCTGCGAAATTGTCGCCACTTTCTCGAGGGCTCCTGGTGGGTCCATCGGAGTGGGGCATTGCGCAGACCTGAGGTAGACCTCGTCGTCCCTGGGAGGCTGCGATCTGCGAAATTGTCGCCACTTTAGCGAGGGCTGCTGGTGGGTCCAGTGGAGTGAGGCACCTCGCAGACCTGAGGTAGACCTCGCCGTCCCTGGGAGGCTGCGATCTGCGAAACTGGCGCCACTTTAGCGAGGGCTGCTGGTGGGTCCAGCGGAGTGAGGCACCGCGCAGACCTGAGGTATACCTCGCCGTCCCTGGGAGGCTGCGATCTGCGAAATTGTCGCCACTTTTTCGAGGGCTGCTGGCGGGCTCGCCACTTTCGAAGGCTGCTGGTGGGTCCAGCGGAGTGAGGCACTGCGCGCACCTGAGCGGGACCTCGCCGTCCCTGGGTGGCCATGTCATGTTGTTGCTGCCCCGCCGACGTTTCAAGCCCCTTGGCCTCAGTCTTCTCCTGGACCTTGCGTCTGCCGTAGTGACTCAAGGGTTCACTAGTTACTCATCGTTTTTCCCTTGATTGGGGACCTGCAAACCTTTCGAATGCCGCTCGCAGAAGTATATGCGTCCATGTCACGTCGCCGCCTTCTCGTCAAATCTTCTGATCTACTCCTGCCCCGCATTGCGCAGGGGTAGGGTACGTCGCCAGGGTAATGTTGTTTTTGCTTGTGCTGTTCATTTTTTATTTTCACATAATGATTATTGTGGACCCCCTGCAGGCATCCCGGCGCTTTCACATAGGCGCCGGCTGCATTTCCTTTGCCCTCCCTCCCCAGCCTCCTCCTCCTCCTCCTCCTCCTCCTCCTCCTCCTCCACCTCCCTGCCCACGCCAGGAGGGCGATGGCACTGATTCCTGGCCAGGCCGATCCTCGGCTCAGGGCCCTCCCTCCCTCCCTCCCTCCCCACCCTCCCCACCCTTCTCCTCCTCCTCCTCCTTCTCCTCCCCCTCCTCCTCCTCCTCCCTCCTCCTCCTCCTCCTCCTCCTCCTCCTCCTCCTCCTCCTCCTCCTCCTCCTCCTCCTCCTCCTCCTCCTCCTCCTCCTCCTCCTCCTCCTCCTCCTCCTCCCTCCTCCTCCTCCTCCCTCCTCCTCCTCCTCCTCCTCCTCCTCCTCCTCCTCCTCCTCCTCCTCCTCCTCCTCCACCTCCACCTCCACTTCCACGCCACCGCTCCTGGGCCCAGCGCGTGGGCCTGGCCAGGGGCGGTGCAGCCTGGCCGAAAGCGCTGAGATGGCGCCCTCCGGGCGCCCATGGAACACCTCTCCGGGTGGCCAGCCCGCGAGTGGCCCCGCCCTTTCAGGCCCAGGACGAGGCTTATGTCGGGCGTGTCCCCCTACAGGGGGATTTTCGACGAAAAATAAAAGATACCCCAGAAATACACCCAAAAGGTAAATCAAGATACTCAAAACATAGCCCCCAGACTATTTTTGGGCAATTTTTTCATTATTTTTGGTGTATTTTGCATTTTGTGGGGGTGTCCACATGCGGTTCCCCCACGCAGCGTTTCGTAGCCCCAGAGGGAGCTCCACCGAAGGCCCCAGAGGGGGTGTCCACATTCGGTTCCCCCACCCAGGCAGCGTTTCGTAGCCCCAGAGGGAGCTCCACCGAAGGCCCCAGTGGGGGTGTCCACATGCGGTTCCCCCACCCAGGGCAGCGTTTCGTAGCCCCATAGGGAACTCCACCGAAGGCCCCAGTGGGGGTGTCCACATGCGGTTCCCCCACCCAGGGCAGCGTTTCGTGGCCCCATAGGGAGCTCCACCGAAGGCCCCAGTGGGGGTGTCCACATGCGGTTCCCCCACCCAGGGCAGCGTTTCGTAGCCCCAGAGGGAGCTCCACCGAAGGCCCCAGTGGGGGTGTCCACATGCGGTTCCCCCACCCAGGGCAGCGTTTCGTAGCCCCAGAGGGAGCTCCACCGAAGGCCCCAGTGGGGGTGTCCACATGCGGTTCCCCCACCCAGGGCAGCGTTTCGTGGCCCCATAGGGAGCTCCACCGAAGGCCCCAGTGGGGGTGTCCGCATGCGGTTCCCCCACCCAGGGCAGCGTTTCGTGGCCCCATAGGGAGCTCCACCGAAGGCCCCAGTGGGGGTGTCCGCATGCGGTTCCCCCACCCAGGGCAGCGTTTCGTAGCCCCATAGGGAGCTCCACCGAAGGCCCCAGTGGGGGTGTTCGCATGCGGTTCCCCCACCCAGGGCAGCGTTTCGTGGCCCCATAGGGAGCTCCACCGAAGGCCCCAGTGGGGGTGTCCACATGCGGTTCCCCCACCCAGGGCAGCGTTTCGTAGCCCCAGAGGGAGCTCCACCGAAGGCCCCAGTGGGGGTGTCCACATGCGGTTCCCCCACCCAGGGCAGCGTTTCGTAGCCCCATAGGGAGCTCCACCGTAGGCCCCAGTGGGGCTGCCCTCATGCGGTTCCCCCACCCAGGGCAGCGTTTCGTAGCCCCAGAGGGAGCTCCACCGTAGGCCCCAGTGGGGGTGCCCGCATGCGGTTCCCCCACCCAGGGCAGCGTTTCGTAGCCTCACAGGGAGCTCCACCGAAGGCCCCAGTGGGGCTGCCTGCATGCGGTTCCCCCACCCAGGGCAGCGTTTCGTAGCCCCAGAGGGAGCTCCACCGAAGGCCCCAGTGGGGGTGTTCGCATGCGTCTCCACTACCCAGAGGTAGCGCCGCCGAAAACGATATTCACACTTGCGGTATTCACAGTTGCATATGGTTGGGTCCTTCGCCAGGCTAATTTTTATTATTTTTGGTGTATTTTGCATTTTTCGTCGAAAATCCCCCTGTAGGGGGACAGGCCCGACTTAAGACGAGGCCCGATTCGCCCCATGGCGCGCTCCTGGAGCGCTCTGGGACGGCCGCGGCGCCCGATGCATCCTCCAGACCCGCCATAAGGGGAACGAGCAAATGACAGAAACACCTAAGAACTCCGAGGTCCGCGCGGACCCGAAAAGTCCGCGCGGATCTCAGAGTTCTTATGTTCATGTCATTGCTCGTCCCCCTAAGGCCCGCCAGCTCGCAGAGGTTTCCGATGTGGCCTCAGATCCGCCACAAAAAATTAGCCTGACGAAGGACCCAACCATATGCAGCTGTGGGTACCGTCGTCGTATGAACCGCATTCGGTGGAATTCCCGATGGGCCCACGAAACTAGTGAAGATGCACCAGAATGGGTGCGGTGGCCGCATGCGAGCGCTGACACCTGGGCCTTCGGTGGAGCTCCCTATGGGGCGACGAAACCTGTGAGGGGTGTACCAGAATGGGTGCGGTGGCCGCATGCGAGCGCTGGCATCTGCGGCTTCGGTGGAGCTCTCAATAGGGCCCCGAAACGTGTGATGGGTGTGCCAAAATGGGTGTGGTGGGCGCATGCGGACGCTGTGGCGCTCCCTATGGGGCCACGACGCGTGTGAGGGGTGTACCAGAATAGATGCGTTGGCCACATGCGAGCGCTGGCATCTGCGGCTTCGGTGGGGCTCCCTGTGGGGCCACGACGCGTGTGAGGGGTGTACCAGAATAGATGCGGTGGCCGCATGCGAGCGCTGGCATCTGCGGCTTCGGTGGGGCTCCCTGTGGGGCCACGCGGAAGGGTGTGCCAAAATGGGCGCGGTGGCCGCATGCCAGCGCTGGCATTTGGGTCTTCGGTGGGGTTTCACCTGGGGCCCCGAAACGTGTGATGGGTGTGCCAAAATGGGTGCGGTGGCTGCATGCGAGGAGGGAAGAGGAGAGGAGGAATGAGGAAGGAGAACGCGGGGCGCTGTCTTCAAAACGAGGACCTAACACCACAGGATGGTTGGGAAATATACACAGACACCCTCTCATGGATTGTGCCTGGGCCTCTGGGAAGGGTGGCGGTGTATCAATCACCACTCGGAGCCAGCGGCGTTATACACCGCCGCCCTCCCTGAAGGTGCCTGCAAAGTTCGTCGGAGGGCGTCAGTGTATAAACTATTTCTGTGGCGTATCATACCCAGATTTGTTCTCGTCCTGCCCTGGTCTTGCTCGCCCTCCCCATGCTGCGTCGCGCCTCGCTCACAGCCTGGCTCCCCAGAGGTCCCCGGACCCCCTCTCTGGGACCAGCCTGTCACCCCCTAAGCCGTTTCCCGACGGCCCCGGGGCCCGGCGAGGGCCCCCCTGGAGGAGGCAGAGAATATGGGCAAAAACCTCCCGCCGTGATCTTTGGTCACGACGCGTGGACGTCTAGACCCGGAGGTCAAGCATCGATTCTGCACCTGCTCCAGGGTGCATTCTGGCTCGAGCCACCAGGCGGATGCAGCCGTGGCGGCGGGCACCCGGGAGGCCGAGAACTGCCAAAAGACCCGCGCCGTGATCTTTGCCACCGCGCGGTACAAAGTCAGGGCTCGCCCCCTCCTCCTCCTTCTCCTCCTCCTCCTCCTGCTGTTCGTCCTCCTCCTCCTCCTCCTCGTCCTGCTGCGCCTCCTAGTCACCTCCTCCTCGTCCTCGCGCCCGCGCGCGGGGAGCGCGGGGCTGCCAGGCGCAGAAGCGCGCGGCGGCGGCGGCGGACCTGCTGGAGGTCCCCGGCCTCGCGCTCTCCGAGGGCGAGCGGGAGCTGACCTTCGAGAGGCGGCAGTGCTCGCCAGTGCTTCGCCGCCCGGAGCGGCTGAGGGTGAGGAGCTGGTCCCGGGGTCAGGTCCCGAAGAGGGGCAGCGGTAGGCCAAGGGGGGAGTTCTCCAGCCTCCCAGGGTTTCGGGTACTGTCGTCTGGTTTCGGGTACGTTCGTCTGTTCTCGGTGCCCTTCCGGCCTCGGGAGGCGTTCCGGCAGCTGAAGGCCTCGCCGGAAGCGCTCTGGGGGTGTGGCCCGAGCTGTGGCCCGCAAGCCAGGGATCGGAAGGTCAGGGGCAGCGTTCGAGGAGGGGATAGGCCCAGGGGGGATGCATGGACCCCCAGTCGCCCATTGTCACCACCCACCAAACCACCCCAACCCAACCCGAAGGCCTCAAATTGACCTCCATTTCCAGTGGGGGGGGGGGGGGTCGGGGAACATCGAGGAAACACATATGGAACGCGTACCCCCCCCAAACCCGAAATTCGGGTCTTCGGGTTGGGTTGGGTTGGGGTGGTCTGGTAGGTCGTCACAGTGATCGCCGATAGGGCCCCGATGGCCCACCCCGCCCAGGAACGTGCTGCCTCGCCCTGCAGGGCACAGGCGCTGAGCGAGCCACCGGCGACGTGTCGCCGATTCCGGCTCGAGGCTTCCCCCACGGGCGGGGCCCCCCGACTCGCTTTCCCCGCACGAAGGGTCGAGGATGATGGGAGCGTTTTCCACCACCACCACCATAAGTTGGAGGAGGACGGAGGAGGAGGACGAGGAGGAGGACGAAGAGGAGGAGGACGAAGAGGAGGAGGAGGAGGAGGAGGAGGAGGAGGAGGAGGGCACCCTCCCCCTCCAACTTATGGTGGTGCTGGTGGTGGAAAACAGGCCCATCAGAGGACTCGGAGCCGGCTGGGGTCTGAGGTGGCCCAGCAGTGGTGTTGGCCAGCAGGCAGAGGGGGGGGGCGAGGTTCGAGGGTTGGTGTTCGAGAAGGGTCTTTACACCCTAGGCGATGCTTAGGAAAACTGAAGTTTTCGGCCAGGGTCTCGATGATTCTGACTGTTTCAGTGTAAATCCGAAGATCTCAACAGAAATTCAGGGTTTGTAATCCAATTCTGAGACTATGAATTTCTGAACTCATGATCTCTTAAGCATTTCGCAGGGTGCATGCCTTGTGCGCCCTCCAGGGACCGGTTTCGGGCGCGGGAGTATGCCTTGACCGGTTTCGGGCGCGGGACCGTCATAACGAATCTGGGGCGAACCACTCCCACCGGCTGGACCTCGGGGAGGGGTCTGCAGAGCGATTTTGAGCAGATTTGGCCTCAGCACCCCCCCCTCCTGACCGACTTTCTGGGGCCCCATCCAGCTTAGACCCCCCGGCCGCCGCCGATCACACAGTGCCTGGAAGAACTCGGTCGTGGGCGAAAAACATGTCTGTGTCCGCGGCCTCGCGGGCTGGGCCCGTGAGCCGTGCCCCCGCGGATCTGGGGCGATTCTGCGCGGATGCCCAGCGCGGAACGCATCCGCGCGACCGCGCATCCTCCTCCTATCTTGGACCCGCTTCCCAGCGGATCTATTTCCTCCTTCGTGCCAGCATGCCACCTCGTTCGCCTCTCGCAGGGTGGGCTCGTGGCTGCACCTGGCTTGCGTGGCGGCTCTTTGAATCGCATGGCAGTTGAGACTGTGTAGTGTGGAGGAGGAGGAGGAGGAGGAGGAGGAGGAGGAGGAGGAGGAGGAGGAGGAGGAGGAGGAGGAGGAGGAGGAGGAGAGTTCGTTTGATTGCGTGGAAAAAAATAGGTCCTTCGTGCCAACAAACCGCGCACGTAGGCGCGATCCAGGAAAACAGTGCCTCGCCCTTGGCGCGTCCTTCGCCGTTCGGTGGGAGAGGCGGCCGAAGGCCGTCGTCGGTGAAGCGGCGGCGGGCCATCCGTCGGAAGGCGATCGCGTTGAAAGGGAGACTCATCCTCCTCCTCCTCCTCCCTCCTCCCTTCCTCTCCTCCTCCTCCTCCTCCTCCTCCTCCTCCTCCTCCTCCTCCTCCTCCTCCTCCTCCTCCTCCCCGTTGTGCCGACCTCCACGGTCTACCAGAGGGAGAGCTTGCGGATGGGTACCGTCACCGCTACCTTCGCCTCGTTCTCGCCATTTTGGGCCTCTTGCGAGGCCCTTGTCGCCACCGTTGGACTCGCCTCGCAAATCTGGTTAGAACGCGCCCCAGGAGAGGTCCGTGGAGTAGCGGTATCGGTATTTTTGTGTCCCCCCATGGACGTCAGCATTTTTTGAAGGTTCAGGTTTCTTGCGACCGTGCTTTTATCCTCTGGCGATAATGGGCGTGACGGGGGGGGAAGGGGCCGGTCACGTCGCGATTTGCGCCGGCGCCGTCTGGCCACGCGCAGGAATGGCTCATTTCCAGACGTTGCCGGCGCCAATCGTGACGTGACTGGGGGGAAGGACCGGCTACGGGCGTGATCGCGAATGATCAAGAACGGGCTCCAGCATTGGGTTTCAGGACTTCTGGAGTCGGCCACGTGGGTGCTCCGAGTTGGCGTCTCCCGAGGCGTCGTCGAGCTTCGACCCAGGAGCGGAGCAGTTCACAAACGTTCGTCCCTCAGAGCCGAAAAGCTGTGCACCGTACCGCTCTGGAGCGGGGCTTGAGTGGAGTCCAGACGTGGTACGGTGCAGATGGGCGCTGTTCTCGTGGGTGCCTGGTCGAGGTGTTGTGGTCGGTCTGCAACGCGTTGGGGACTCCGTGGTCTGCGTTTCGGGGAAGCGGGCCCGTTCCACAGCAAGGTCTGGGGCCCCCAGGGGGCCCCCCGGAGCCCTGTAGCGTTCCCCGCCGTCGCCCCCCCGAGGGGCGCTGTGTGCATCGAGCCTTGCTTCTCGCCCTCTCGAGAGGGGCCGCCTGGGCTTCGACCTGGAGGGCGTGCACGTCTGCTCGGTGGAGCCTGGCAGCCAGGCGCTCGAGCTCCTTGGGCGTGATTGCTGCGGTCGTGGTCGTCGTCATCGTCGTCGTCGCCGCCGCCGCCGCAGCCGCCGTCGTCAACTTCGTGGTCGTGGTCGCGGTCGTGTTTGGTGTCGCCGTAGCCGTCGCCGCCGCCGCCGTCGTCACCGTCGTCGTCGTCGTCGTCGTCGTCGTCGTCGTCGTCGTCGTCGTCGTCGTCGTCGTCGTCGTCGTTGTCATCGTCGTCGTCGTGGTCGTCGTGATCGTCGTCGTGTGCGTTGCTGTTGTTGCTGCTGCTGCTGCTGCTGCTGCTGTTGTTGTTGTTGTTGTTGTTGTTGTTGTTATTGCTGTTGTTGTTGTTGCTGTTGCTGTTGTTGTTGTTGTTGTTGTTGTTGTTGTTGTTGTTGTTGTTGTTGTTGTTGTTGTTGTTGGTGTTGAACATTATTACTTCTAAAGAATAATTATTGTTGGGACCCCTGGTGCACGACCCCCCCGCCGCGCCTAGGCCGCAGCCACATTTTCATCATTTTCGTGAGGAAGTCTCAGGCAAAACGGGTTGGTCCGGATCCGGTTGTTTTGTTACGGCCCGCTTTCCCTTGCAAAAAATAAGCTAAAGTGGACATTTCTTGTTCTAACACAACCAAACTTCAAGAATCCCTTGCAAAAAATAAGGTAAAGTTGACATTCGCGCGCGCAAGACGAAATCCTTCCAAAACCCTAGTTTTCGTAACGATTTTGACATAAAAACATCAAAAAGCCAATGGTTTTTTTTTGTTTTTAAAAAAATGTCAAAATTTCATCCCGCGCGCTCTTGCGGATTCGTAGGAAACCCAACACTTTTTTAAACATTTCTGTCAAACGGGTTTTTGCGAGCAACTTTTTCGAACTTCTGCAACAACGGTTGCGCACCTGCCAGGGCCATCATCCCTGTCAAATAATACCATGCGGGACACATTCGTTTTTTCTTCGCGCGCGCACGCCGTCGTCGTCGGCCGCGGGGCCCTGAATAGTAGCCACGGTCGTCCGCATGCCACGAAGTGAAGTGTCCGAACGTCATAGGGCGGGAAGCTGGGTGTGGGTGGTGGCGAAGAGTCGTTTGGAAATTTGGTAGAGCTTGAACCGGCCCCCCCACAAAGTGGGGGTATTGCCCGCCTCCTATGAAAACCCTGGCACTGGTGAGAACGGAGTGTCCCCACGTGCTAGTAATTGTTGTTGTTGTTGTTGTTGTTGTTGTTGTTGTTGTTGGTGTTGTTGTTGTTGTTGTTGTTGTTGTTGTTGATGTTGAATTTTTTGATTGAAGTCCCCCTGCGGGGTCTCGCACCCTGTTTTTTTATCAGGGAAGGTCTTGAGGCTCAAACTGTGTCGTTGGCCCCCAGTTTACAACAACAACGGCTCCCGCCTGAGACTTCCTCACAATTAATCGAAGAATCGCGCTCCCGCCTGAGACTTCCTCGCATTTTATCAGGAATCGCGCTCTCGCTTGGGATTTCCTTACAATTTATGCAGGAATCGCTCTCTCGGTGCTCTGGAGTCGCGCTCTCGCTGGAGACTTGCTTGCAACTTACTCAAGAATAGCGCCCTTGCGTTGGAAATTCTTGCAATTTACTCAAGCGCCGAGCTCCCAACACTCAGGCACCCAGGAGTCGCGCTGACGCTTACGACCCCCTCACATATTATTTAGGAATCGGGACCTCGCTGCCCTTCGTGGCCCCATTGCAGCCCATCGTGGCCCCCTCGCTGCCGTCCGTGGGCCCGTTGCAGCCCTTCGTGGCCCCCTCGCTTTGTTTCGTGGCCCCGTTGCAGCCCTTCGTGGCCCCCTCGCTGCCCTTCGTGGCCCCGTTGCAGCCCCTCGTGGCCCCCCTCGCTGCCCTTCGTGGCCCCGTTGCAGTTTTCGTGGCCCCCCTTCGCTGCCCTTCGTGGGGCACCGTTGCAGCCCCTCGTCGCCCCTCGCATGCCCTTTCGTGGCCCCGTTGCAACCTTTCTTGGCATTTTGGCACCCTCGTGCCCTTCGTGTCACTCGTTGCAGCCCCCCTTCGTGGCCCCCTCGCTGCCCTTCGTGGCACGTTGCATTTCCTCGTCCCCCCCTACGCTGCCGTTCGTGGCCCAGTCGTTTGCTGCGCATCTGGCCCCCTCGTGACCTTGTGGCCCGGTTCAGTTCTACGTGGGGCCCCCCTCGCTGCCCTTCGTGGCCCCGTTGCAGCCCTTCGTGGCCCCCTCGCTGCCCTTCGTGGCCCCGTTGCAGTTCCTCGTGCCCCCCCTCGCTGCCCTTCGTGGCCCCGTTGCAGCCCCTCGTGGCCCCCTCGCTGCCCTTCGTGGCCCCGTTGCAGTTCCTCGTGGCCCCCCTCGCTGCCCTTCGTGGCCCCGTTGCAAGCCCTTCGTGGCCCCCTCGCTTTGTTTCGTGGCCCCGTTGCAGCCCCTCGTGGCCCCCTCGCTTTGTTTCGTGGCCCCGTTGCAGCCCTTCGTGGCCCCCTCGCTTTGTTTCGTGGCCCCGTTGCAGCCCTTCGTGGCCCCCTCGCTTTGTTTCGTGGCCCCGTTGCAGCCCTTCGTGGCCCCTCGCTGCCCTTGTGGCCCGTTGCAGTTCCTCGTGGGGGGGGGGGTCACCCTCGCTGCCCTTCGTGGCCCCCGTTGCAGCGCCCTCGGGGCTCCACTCGCTGCCCTTGTGACCCGTTGCTGTTCCTCGTTGGCCCCATCGCTGCCCTTCGTGGCACTCGTTGCAGCCCATCGTGTGCCCCTCCGCTGCCCTCGTGGCCCCTGTTGCAGCCTTCGTGGCCCCCTCGCTTTGTTGCGTGGCCCCGTTGCAGCCCTTCGTGGCCCCCTCGGTGCCCTTCGTGGCCCCCGCTCGTTCGCGCCCGTCGTGGCCCCATATGCATGCCCTTCGTGGCCCCGCTGTCGCCCTTCGTGGCCCCCTCGCTGCTCTTCGTGGCCCCGTTGCTGTCCTCAGTAGCACCGTCCTTGCCCTCCGCGGCCCAATATACGTATGCCTTTCGTGGCCCCCGCTCGTTCGCGCCCGTCGTGGCCCCATGTGCATGCCCTTCGTGGCCCCGCTGTCGCCCTTCGTGGCCCCCTCGTTGTCCTACGTGGCCCAGTTGCTACCCTCGGTGGCCCCGTCGTTGCCTTCTGTGGCCCCGCATTATCTGCCTTCGTAGCCCCCGCTCGTTCGCGCTCTTCGTGGCCCCATACGCATTCCTTTCGTGTCCCCGCTATCGCCCTTCGTGGCCTGTTTTAAACCCTTCGTGGCCCTGCTGTCGTTCTCTCTCTCGCTCTCGCTTTCGCTCGTCGTCGTCGCCGTCGTCGTCGTCGTCGTCGACGTCGACGTCGTCGTCGTCGTCGTGGTCGGTCCCCTGTCCGTCCTTCTTGGGGTCGGGTTGCCGCCGATCAGCGCTGCCGCTGGCCAGGCCGACGGTCCGCGGCCGCCCCGCCGCTTGCTGGGGCCCGGCTTGCAGGGAAGAAAGGTATACCCCCCAAAAGGGGCACGGTCGAAGACGAAGAGGGCGGGCATCGAGGGGTTGGGCAATACGCGTCAACGGGCACTCGAGCAGATAAGAGCGAACAGTCTTAAAATGAGTGTTGTTGTTGCTGTTCTTGTCGTCGTCGTCGCCGTCGTGGTGACAGGCCGACCAGCTCGGCGTGAAGGTCGGCGACCGCCTCAAGGCGATCGCGGGCTACAAGGTGCCCGGGCCGAAGTCCGAGGAGGCCGAGGAGGTGGCGCGGGCGCGGGCAGTGGCGAAGAAGTGGCTGAAGGTCGGGGGGGAGACGTGCAGCAGCAAAAAAATTGGCCTGCCATTGGGTGTCCCGCGAACCTTCTCCTCCTCTGCTGGGCCCGGCGACCCGAGTGGCACCGTGATTGCGAAGCTCGAGGTCGACAAATGCTGTGTCTACTGTGCAGTCGAGACGCTGAGGTCTGCACCACCTTTGTTTCTAGGCCTCCCAGGTGGGGTCCGAGTAGATTTATGTCGGGCGTGTCCCCCATACAGGGGGATTTTCGATGAAGAATAAACCATACCCCAAACATACACCAAAAAGGTAAAACAAATATTCAAATTATCCCAGAGCGACCCTACCTAGGAGTTGGAGCCCCTAGGAGAGCAATATTCTGTAGTAACGGTAAACGCCGTTCTCCTCCTTCTCCTCATTGTCGCAGTTGTAGCAGTAGCGGTAGTAGTAGTAGTAGTAGTAGTAGTAGTAGTAGTAGTAGTAGTAGTAGTAGTAGTAGTAGTAGTAGTAGAAGTAGTAGTAGTAGTAGTAGTAGTAGTAGTAGTAGTAGTAGTAGTGCTATGCTATGCTATGCTATCCTGCGCTATGCTAGGCTATGCTATGCTATGCTATGCTATGCAGGGCTATGCTATGCTATGCTAGGCTATGACATGACATTATATGCTGCGCTATGCTATGCTATGCTATGCTATGCTATGTTGCGCTGTGATATGGTATGCTATGCTATGTTATGCTATGCTGTGATGTGCTGTGCTATGCAATGCTATGCTGCGCTGTGCTATGCTAAGCTATGCTATGTTATGCTATGCGATGCAATGCTATGATATGCTATGCGATGCTATGCAGAACTATGCTATGCTGTGCTATGCTATGCTATGCTATGCCTGGCGATGTTATGCTATGCTATGCTGTGCTCATGCTGCGCTGCGCTAAGCTAAGCTAAACTAAACTAAGCTAAGGTATGTTAAGCTAAGCTAAGCTAAGCTAAGCTAGGCTAGGCGAAGCTAAGCTAAGCTAAGCTAAACTAAGCTAAGCTAAGCTAAGCCATGCTAAACTAAGCTAAGCCAAGCTAAGCTCAGCTAAGCTAAGCTCAGATGAGCTAGGCTACGCTTAGCTAAGCTAGGCTAGGCAAAGCTAAGCTAAGCTAAGCTAAGCTAAGATGAGATAAGCTAAGCTAAGCTAAGCCAAGCTAAGCTAAGCTAAGCTAAGCTAGGTGAACCCAGGGGGCGGGGACTGGGGGAACCGCGGGGCGGGGACCTGGGGAACCGCCCGGGGCGCTTTCCACTGCCCGGCCCCTTTAAGCTAAGAGAGTAAGAACCCTCTAGGCAGAGCCTAGGTAGGGAAAAATAGTCCCCAGACTATTTTTGGAGTGTGTTTGGAATATTTGTGGGGTATTTTTCCCTACCTAGGCTCTGTCTAGAAGAGTTCTTACCGTGTATGCTTAAAGGGCCGGGCAGTGGTCCTCGCCACTGGCGGTTCCCCCAGTATCCGCCCCGCGGTTCCCCCAGTGACGGCCCCTTAGCTTAGCGTTGCTTATCTCATCTTAGCTTAGCTTATTTAATCTTAGCTTAGCTTAGTTTCATCTTAGCTCAGGTTTATCTTAGCTTAGCTTACCTTCATCTTAGTTTCGCCGAGCTTTAGCATAGCAGAGCACAGCGTAGCATAGCAGAGCAGCTCGCAGCTCGCACCCGGTGAGCGAGTGCGAACACATGCGTGTGTGTGTCTGTGCACAGGCAAACCAAACACCAAAATCAAGCAACAGCAAACACAGCATCAAAACAAAAGCAACACCAAAAGCAAACACAAAAGTAAAGGCAAGGCAATGCAAAGCAAAAACATAACCAATGCGAAAGTGTAAATGTAGATGTGGATGTAGGTGTAGGTGTAGATGTTGATGTAGAAATAGGTGTATATGTATATGTATATGTAGATGTAGATGTAGATGTGAGTCTCGCTGTTGATGTTGATGTGGATGTAGATGCAGGTGTAGATGTTGATGTAGCTTTCGGTTTAGATAGAGATGTTGCTTTCCTAGATCCTCAAACTCCTAGGTAGGGTCGCACTGGGAGAATTTCTTTTTCGTCGGAAATCCCCCTGTAGCGGGACAGGCCCGACTTAAGAGTAGATGGGGTCGGAGGGCCGCGCGCCGCATCGACGATGCATCGGCGATGCGGCTCGATGTGGAGCCCGAGTTTCGTCGCGCGGGCGTCGCCGCTGCATCGCCGATGCATCACCGATACATCGCCGATACATCGCCGATGCATCGCCGATGTATCGTCGATGCGGCGCGATCCTCCGACCCCCTCTATCGAAGAAGAAGAAGAAGAAGAAGAAGAAGACACCGCCATAAGCATAAACTTTGGGCGCTCCGCGCGGAGCGCCAAAAGCTTATTGTTATGACGTTGTTTCTCATTTTTCTTCTAGTTCGAGGGACTTTCTGCGGAACTCACGTCATCCTGACCCCAAGCGCGCGAGAAAGTTGCCTCCCAGCGCACCCCCAGGAACCTCCAGCTCGTGAGCCTCGAACTCCTGATCCTCACCCTCCTGACCCTCACCCGCCGCACCACCGCCGCCCGCTCATCCTCACCCTCGTCTCTGAGCCCAGGCGCGCACCCCCACTTCTAAGTACAGTCCCGTTTTTAATACATGCTCCGCCTTAAACATGCAGGGAAATAGAATTAAACAACGATGAGTTCATGCATACACTTCTTCATGAATTAATCATGTATTAAAATCTTATATTTTTGAAAAAAAAACCTATGTGTTAAAAACTGCCCTGCACGGAACCTCCCGAGCAACCGCAGAGCGGCCAGCCAGTCACAGCCTGCTCGGACTCCATCCAGGAGGCCTCTGCTGTTTCGGGAGGGCCTGGAGGTATGTTGGCGACCACGCGAGAACCCCGCCGCGCCGCCTGGTACCCTTGCTTGCGCCGAAATTGCTGAGAGGGGGAGGAGGGGGAGGAGGAGGAGGAGGAGGAGGAGGAAGAGGAGGAGGAGGAGGAGGAGGAGGAGGAGGAGGAGGAGGAGGAGGAGGAGGAGGACGAGTGTAAACCGAAGAGTCATCAACGATGTTGGAGTAAAGCCTCCTCGGATCTGCGCGGGGGGACCTTGTCGGACCCTCCGAGTGGCTCGCCGTGGCCGGGAAAAGAGGGGCGGTGCCGCTGTCCACGGCGGTGCTCCGGACGGTCCGTCGCCTTCCCCCTCTGCCCGGCGCCTCCCTGTTCCCCCCTTGTGCTGCCGCTATGTGTTTGCGTATTCCCTCTCTTCCTGTTTTTTTTTCGGTGGTGTATATCTCTATATATATACACAAACAAACAAACATAAGCATACACATAAGCATAAGCACACACACACACACGCATATATGTGGTATAACCATACATATATATATATATATACATATGCTAGTGGCCTCTCAAGCTGCATGCGTCTTTGCACAGCGTGTGTCCTCCGCCCCCTCCTCCTCGATCTCCTCGTCCCCGCCCCTCTGCCGTGCATGCGTTCGACTGTTGGTGGCGCTTCAACGGTGGCTTCCTGCGTTCTCTGTCGAGCGAAATCCGGAGTGGGTTTCGAGAAAGCTTTGCGTGAGGTCAAGTGTGCCTTTTGAGAGCAGAAATCACGTGGCACTGACTGTACAGGGTCCGGCTTGAATAAGGAACACTTCCTTCTCAAAAGGGGCTCGGTCGTTCCTTTGGTTTGCATGCGCTACGCTACCTTTTGGGCGGCGAGCCCCCTGGTGTTCCCTCGGACTTCCTAGACTCTCTTTGAGAAAAGGGGCTCCCTTCCTAATTTGTCGTTCCTTGGGCCAGGCCGAATCCTGTATTGATTACCTGGTGGCGCCCCAGAGGGCCGGCTCCGTGTTCCTTGATTGTTTCACAGCTTGCCACAGGTTTTCCTCAGGTCTTCGATGGGAAATCGAAGCTTCACCGATTGGAAAACGGGGCCTCGTTCCTCATTTAGGGTTCCTTAGGTGGCGCCCCAGATCCACCGCCAGAATATGTCCACATCCACCGCTTCGGAGTCGTGCCCTGGAATCTCGAGGAGCAGTGGATATGGATATCTGCCCGCCCGCGTGAGCGGGCAGATATCCATATCCGCCGCTCCCCGAGTCCTCGCAACACGACCCAGCAGCAGTGGATATGGTTAAATTCTGGTGGCGCCCCAGAGGGCTGGGTCCGTTTCTGGAGACGGGCCTCTCGTCCCGAGTCGTTCCTGGCAGGCCCCGGGGCCCGGCCACCGGAGCCCCCCCCCCCCCGAGGCCGAGCATCCCCACACCCATCCCCCGGGGTCGTGTTTTTTTTGTTGCGGCGCGGGGGGTGTCCGGGCCGTGGCGGCGGGGAGTTCTCCCTGGAGGCACAAAGAGGAGAGGCAGGGTTCAAGGCTCGATCCGCGATCCTCGACCTCGAACTTCGAATCTCGGTCCAAGTTCGAGCCGAGCACGTCCTGGGCCCACCCATCCCCTTGTCGTGATCTTTGTTGCGGCGCGAGGGTGTCTGGGCCGTGGCGGCGGGGAGGTCCCTGGAGGCACAAGAGGAGAGGCAGAGTTCAAGGCTCGATCCGCGATCCTCGACCTCGAACTTCGAGTCTCGGTCCAAGTTCGAGCCGAGCACGTCTGGGCCTGCTTCCCCCTGCCCGCCTTTCTAGGCCTCCTGGATGGGGTCCGAGTAGATGGGGTCGGAGGATCCCGCCGCATCGCCGATGCATCGGCGATGCGGCTCGATGTGGAGACCGTGTTTCCCCACGCCGACGTCGCCGATGCATCGCCGATGCATCGCCGATACATCGCCGATGCATTGACGATGCGATGCGATCCTTTCACCCCATCTACTCGGACCCCATCTAGGAGGCCTCAATCCTTGCGAGGCCGCCAGCTCAAGGTGCAGTGGTGGCTCTAATGGTGCAAACGGTGACGCTATGGCGCGCTCTCGAGGTGCTCTCGGCTAGGGACGTCTGTCTCGAGACGCTTGCGATCTGGCAATATACGCTCAAACACGTCACTACCAACGACACCTACCTCACTTACCATACGGGATTAGCCAGTAGGTACTTTCTCCTCCTCGTCCCTCCCTCCTCGTCCTCCCCCTCCTGCCGTTTCTGCCGTTTCTCGCTACGCAGCGTCTTGTCGTGCGCCCCGCGGGCGCGGAGCGCTCCGCAGCGGCCCGTCAGGGCCGTGCGGGCACTCAGACGGCGGCCCCGGGAACCCGACCCCGAGGGAGGGGAGGACCAGGGACCAATAAAATCACGGAGGGGGAGGAAGGGGCCGGGTTTTCAAAAAGGAAAGGAAGAGGGCCCGCCAGGGCCCTCAGCGTGCGCCGCGCGCGGCCGCCCACTCAGGCAGCGCGGCACGGCACGCGGCCAGGCCGTCGGCCTCTTCGTGGGCCGGCGGCCGCACGGCAGTTCGCGCACCAGAGGTGCTGCTGGCCTCCGCAGTGCGCGAACCCGCAGTGCTCGGCCCAGTCGTACAGGTCGAAGTTGCACTGCCTGGCTCTGCGGCCCTCGGAGCTGTGCTGCTCGCCGCAGACGTGCAGGTCGCCTTGGTGCAGCTTGGCGCTGTAGTTCACGATGTGGCTCGGCTCGATCATGGTGGTCTTCTCCTCCTCTTATTTGGTTCCCCCCTCCCTCTTCCCTCCCCTCCCTCCCTCCCTCCCTCCCTTTCTCTCCCTCCTCCCCCCTCCCTCTTCCCTCCCCTCCCTCCCTCCCTCCCTCCCTCCCTCCGATGATGCGGGTAGTGGTAGTGGGTAGTCGGTTGGTGGCCTTCGGCTGATAGTCAGTTGGTGAGCTGTGGTGTTCGACTCGATCATGGTGGTCATCGGCTTACAGCATGAAATATGGCGTCGATCCTGTGGTACTCGACGCAGTCGCATTCATTGATGAGGTGGTGCTTGACTCGATGGTCCTCATCATGTGATGCTCGGCTCAGACGTGCTAGTCGTCGGTGGTGGCGGGAAATGCTGGCTGAGTGGTAAGTCGTTGGAAAGCTCCCCCGCCATTGTATCTGCTTTTTGTGCGTGCTGGTCAGGGTCGCTGGGCGATCGGCTTGTTGCTGGGGTTGTGATGTGGGGCGTGGGCGCACATATGAGGCCTCCATGCACCGACTTCAAGTGGGGTTCGCGGCGGCCCCACCTCGTCCCGCTATGGCTAGGGGTCACGGTGCCCTCGGTGGGGGCGAACCCCAGGCCTGGTGCTTCTGTCGGTGTGGGATGTCTCGGCTGTCCTGCGCTTCGCCCATTGGGCGCTCGGGTAGCACCTCCTCCGCCATGGGGATGGTGGGGGTGGCGAGCTAGGGCGGACCGCGGGGGCGCAGGTAGTGGACGTCCTACCCCCCCCTGCCCCTCACCATTCTCCTGGTGGGCGCGGGTAGTACTCGTCCTTCCCCCCCACCCTTCGAGCCCGTCTCGAAGTTTGATCCAAGCCTCACCAGGGCAGCGTTGACTTGTAGAGGTGTGGTGGGGCATACCAGGGATGTGGTAGTGGTCGATGAGTGGCGCGGTATGTTCGTAGCAGTCGCCCACCGTCTGGCCAGCTGGTATCCACTGAGTTGTATACGTACGATCCATGCCAAAGTACATACTGCAAAACGTAGCGACTTGTGCCTGGGGTCTTCCCACGCATTCGGGCCTCCACCTCCTCATCCTCCTCCTCCTCCTCCTCCTCCTCCAGTCTGCTGGGCGCCTTCTTCCCTTCGACGATCGAGTGGGCTCCCCTCTCCCCGCCTCTCCAGGGGGCGGGCGAAGCCCCGACCTCTGCCTCCACCGCCCTCCTGCTTTTCATGCTTCTACCCTTACGTCGGGCATGTCCCTCTACAGGAGCAGTATTGAAGAATAGTATAAGAGAATTAGTGTGGGGACGATTGCACGTGTTTTTCTTCTGGCTATTTTTGAATATGGTTTGACTATTCGTTGTTTTTCATCCAAAATCCGCCTGTAGGAGGACATGCCCGACCTAATTCTACCCGCTCCTTCCGACCGACGGGTAGTGGTAGTCGGCGGCACCCCAACACATCAACATCATGTGTGCATCGCTTCCCCCCCAGGGGCGACGCGCGCACCGAGAAGTCTTAAAATACATGCGTCGTGGCGGCCGCTTTCTGGCCGTACCGCTCGGGAAACGATGTACGGCAAGATGGGTTATACTATCTGTTCGGGTCGGACGCACGCCTCTGAGGAGGACGCATAGTACTAGTGTGTCCTTGTGCGTCCCAGGTACCCAGACCCCCGACGTCGTGATTCTTTCACAACGTCGACCCCCAGAGGTCTGGACCCCTTCCCCGGGACCAGTTTTTCGTCCTGAGCCGTTTTGTTGACGGTCCTGAGGCCTGGTGAGGGCCTGTGGAGGCCGAAAATGCCGAAAAACCTTCAGTCGCAATTTTTTTTCAACGCGAGGAGGTCTGGGCAGCGCGATGGCCGCTTGCACCGCAACCGCCAGGTATACACGGGTCCCCTCCAGCTCAGAGGCCTGGCGTGTGCGGCCTCGGCGCCCTCGACCCCCAGAGGTCTGGACCCCTTCCCCGGGACCGGTTTTTCGTCCTAACCTTTCGCCGGAGTGACCTTTGGTGCGGGCACAGATGGGTCCCCAGATGGCTGGAAACGAAGCAGGGACAGCGGCTTGCGCGCCCAGATTTGGTCCCCCCGCGGCCCCCAAAAAGCCGCGCACCAAAGGCCACTCTTACCCAGGGTCACTCTTGCGTATAGCCGACTGGTGAGGGTCTCTGGAGGCCGAAAGTGGCGAACAGAAACCTTCAGTCGCACTTTGTTTCACACAACGCGAGGAGGCCTGGGCAGCGCGCGATTTTTTTCACAACGTCGACCCCCACAGGTCTGGACCCCTTCCCCGGGACCGGTTTTCCGTCCTGAGCCGTTCTGTGGACGGTCCTGAGGCCTGGTGAGGGTCTCTGGAGGCCGAGAATGGCGAACAAAAACCTTCCGACGCAGTTTCCTTCACACGACGCGAGGAGGCCTGGGCAACGCGCGATTTTTTTCACAACGTCGACCCCCACAGGTCTGGACCCCTTCCCCGGGACCGGTTTTCCGTCCTGAGCCGTTCTGTGGACGGTCCTGAGGCCTGGTGAGGGCCTCTGGAGGCCGAGCATGGCGAACAAAAACCTTCCGCCGCAGTTTCCTTCACACGACGCGAGGAGGCCTGCGCAGCGCGCTGGCCGCCCGCACCGCAACCGTGGACGGTCCTGAGGCCCGGTGAGGGCCTCTGGAGGCGGAAAGTGGCGAACGAAAACCTTCCGTCGCAGCTTTCTTCCGCACGACGACCGGTGAGGGCCTCTGGAGGCCGAAAGCGGCGAACAAAAAAACCCTTCCGCCGCAGTTTCCTCCACACGACGCGAGGAGGTCTGCGCAGCGCGCTGGCCGCCCGCACCGCAGCCGCCAGGCATCCCCACGGGCCCCCCCTCCTCGGCCTCGGCGGCGGAGGAGGAGGAGGAGGAGGAGGAGGAGGAGGAGGAGGAGGATGAGGAGGAGGAGGAGGCCTGGCGTGAGTGCGGCCTCGGCGCCCCCACGGGAGGCCCGGCGCACGGAGGCCCCGGGGCCCGGGGAGGGGGGCCTGCAGCTGCCCCCGACGGTTCCCCGATCTGCTGTTTGACGCTGTGAAGGACGATCTTCCTCGTTTTCTTCTTTGTTGTTTTTTTCTAGATTTTCTCTTCGATCCGATTATTATCATTATTATTAGTATTATTCGTATTATTATTACTACTACTACTACTGCTACTACTACTACTACTACTACTACTACTACTACTACTACTGCTGCTGCTGCTACTACTACTACTACTACTGCTACTACTACTACTACTACTACTACTACGACGACGACGACGACGACGACGACGACGACGACGACGACGACGACGACGACGACGACGACGACGACGACGACGACTACTACTACTACTACTACTATGGCTATTATTCTTATTATGGCTGCTATTATTTTTACTACTATTATTATTATTATCATTATTATTATCATTATTATTATTATTATTATTATTATTTGTATTCTTATTATTATTATTTGTTATAGTATTCTTATTATTATACTTATTATTATTTCTTATTGTTATTATTATTATTCTTATCATTATTATTGTTGGAGGCCTCGCGCGGCGCGCAATATAGCTTGATCTTCTAGACTACACGCCTGCTCCGTACGATATAGGTCGGCGTTCGCGCGGCGATGCTCCGACGTACGTCCCGCGTGAATCCGACGATACTCCGACGTAGATCCGGCGAAACCCGACGTGAATCCGACGTAATTCCGACGTGGACCCGACGTAAATGTGGTTTCAAGCTGCCGTGGAAGCATCGCGACAGGAGGTCTCCCGCCGTTGTCGGCCTCCAGGGGCCCTCGCCGGTCCCGTGGACGGTCAAGTACGACCCGGCACGAGAAGCAGGCCCCGAGGACCCGGTGGGGATCTCCGGGGGGCACCATGCGGAACATACCAAGACATCGCATTGTCTTGGCTGACGCCCTCGCGTCCTGAGGAGCGGGGCGCTCCAGAACTGGCCGCGCCTTCGGGGGCCGAAGGAGTTGGCATATGTCTTCCCCGGTGGGATGGCGGCGGAAAAGGCCTGCGGGAGCCGGCGGGATGAAACCGGAGGCGGCGGCTCTCCTGGCAGAGGCCGGCGGAAGGCTGGCGGAAGCCCGCGGAAGTAAAAATCGGTTGCCCAAGCCCAGAGATCCAACGTGTTGAAAAAATGGAGACGGGCATTTTCACAGTTTCCGGCCTCCAGGGGCCCTCGCCGACCTCCAGGACCGCCAAAAAACGACCCAGACTCAGGATGGAAAACCGGTCCTGGGGAACGGGTCGAGACTTCCGGGGACCCTGTATTCAAAAATCACAACTTAAGACCTTTGGGAAGCTTGAGCTTCAGGATTTCTGGAAGTGGCCGACCAAATCACGGCGGAAGGTTGGAGGTAATTTTCGGCCCCCAGGGGCCCTCACTGGTGCCGGGGACTGCAAGGACGGCTAGCCCGGGGAAAAAGCCGGTCCTCGGGACGGGGCCCAGGCTTCTGTGGAGCCACGCTGATGAAGCATGCACTGGATCCGGTGACTGGGCACGGAGAGGTGTGAACGGAATGAGACGTGCAGAACGGACCGTGGGAATTGGCAAGCGGGCTATTGAGTTTCGGCAGCACCCAAGCATATGATTACCTATAGGACCACCCTTCGAGTGATAAGGAGGTTGTGGGGGGGAAAGGGGGGGGAACCAACATCTGACTCAATCGATCTCACTAATCGCACTCAACGGGACACCACGGGACACCTCGGGGCACCACATCGATCTCAGTATCGATCCCACTCAACGGGACACCACGGGACACCTCTCGATCTCACTATCGGTCTTACTATCGATCTCACTATCGGTCTCACTCAACGGGACACCACGGGACACCTCGGGACACCACATCGAATCTCACTATCGATCTCTCGATCGATCTCACTCAACGGGACACCACGGGACGCCACGGGACA